GGCCGTTGGCTATGATCATCAAACATTGGACGAAGCGGAGGATACTCTGCGATGCCGGTATGTTTCAACCGTGGGGGAGTCAAACAGCATCTTATTTCTTCTAATGTCCTCGGTGTTGACGATTTGTCTCAGGATTGGGTGGCACGTTAAGCTCCTATACATGGATATGCTTGATCATTAATTTCCTCCAAACGCGGGACCCTCCAATTCTCCCCAGTCTTCAGGCTCGGCCCCATGAGAAGAAGATTTCGCCGGAAGGATTGGTTTGCTCATTTGACGATGACCTTGGCAGTCTGGCTGGGTATGGACGGAAAAACAAGCAAAGCATAGGCGACCTGCTTTTCCAGTTCTTCAAGTATTATGGCCATAAGCTCAACTACGAAAAGTACGTTGTATCCGTTCGAGAGGGTAAGCTGATTTCGAAGGAAGCCAAGGGGTGGCACTTACTCCAGAATAATCGCCTCTGCGTGGAAGAGCCTTTCAATACGTCGAGAAATTTGGGAAATACTGCGGATGATACATCCTTCAGAGGCGTCCATCTCGAACTACGAAGAGCATTCAAGGCTTTGTCGCAAGGAGATCTTGAGCTCTGTTGTGAGCAATACGAGTATCCACCCGAGGAAGAGCGGTCGTGGGAGCGGCCGCCTCCTCAACCACGGCCTGTTCTCACCGCACCTCCGTCTTCCCGGGGCGGTCGTGGCGGTGGCCGTGGTGGGCGACATTCGAACCAATACCCTCGTGGTGGACATAATGGCAGCCGTCGGTCTTCAAATACGCCGCATAAGTCCAATAGCTTCCGCCAAGCCAGCAACGGTATGAGTGCATCGGAACTATCTCTGCAAGCGCAGCAAGCTCAATATCTTCTTCATGATCATCTCTACCAGCAGATTCAGATCCTCCAAGCACAGGAACAGGAACTCCGATTACAGCTTCAAAATCAAGCACTTCTCACCGGGAGACCACCACCTGTGCTTATCCGCCAGCCATTCATGCAGTTTCCGATGCCTCAGCAACAGGAGTCAACCGGCGACGACAACTCTCGCTCAAGGTCCGGAACAGCGAACCACGGAACGCAGCTCCGCCAGCATGTCTACTATGGCACCCCGTACCTTCCGGTTGCGATGACGGGCGTGCAAGGCAATAGTACAACTAACCCACCATCGCCATCTGCGCCAACTGCTATGCCAGAGCTTCGGCGCAATCCACGTCGATCGTCAGTTGCGAACGGCTCCCCAGGCGGATCGCTCAGAGCTCAGTCGCAGCCCGCGCGGTCGGTTCACTCCCTTCCGAGCTTTGCCCCAATATACTCCATGACGCAAGATCCCCCACAAGGTTCAAAGCAGCGCAATACGCCTGCATCACCTGATGGTGGGCAGAGCGAAGAAGACAGCAACTTCATGCCTAGTAGTATGCCCAATGTGTCTCGCTCTCCATACTTGGATGAAAGTCGGCCCGCCGAGTATATGGCCTACTACCTTGCCACCTCACCACAATTGCAGACATATCATCAGAACGCCATGTTGTCTCCACTGCAAACACCGGTAGGCTTAGCATTACCGAACGGCACTATCATGCCCTTCGTTACCAACTCTCACGAATATCTGTCTACACTCGGCCCCCATGAAGCATTTGGTTCTTCTCCGGACAACGGCTCTACGCAGGCTTTTAAGGTTGGGTCAACGCAGCAGCGGGCAACGGCACGGCCCATGGCATCGGGCGGTCCCCTAATTGTCGATGGGTCGGTTCCTCTCACTGAACCGCGCATTGCCCCTATCTCTGCCGAGAACTATGATCCCTGTGGTGCTATGAGCCATTGTACATCGACTTCGGATGATCACAATACTGATACCCCCGCCAGTGTCTCCGACGCATTCTCTCAAGATTACCAAGATACGAGTTCGGTGGAAACCGACCAAACTCCGTACTTCGGCCGACAGGGAATCGATACTCGGAAACCAACCGACGCTTTGACCAACGGACACGGTGGGAAGCCCAGTCTGCTGTCAAGCCGTCTACAAAGCCTACATCTCTCGAACAGCGAGAAAATGACAGAGCCGTTGGCGAAGCCTGGTCCAGAAAAGCACAAGGCGGCTTTTTCTCACCAGGAAACCTCGGACAAGGACTCTTCTCGTCTCAGGCATACGGCCGCGGAGAAGGGGGTGTCTGGACCGGAGCTACACGGGCCGTCGAATGGTAAACGCAGACCAAATGGCGTTGATGTTTCAGAGAAGCTCAATGGAAACTCTCATAAGTCGAAACCTAAAAACCGCTCCGACACTTCCCACCACGCTAGTGGGTCAGGCGACAAAGAACGGAATGGCGGCCATCCTACACGACGCACGAATGGCACTGGCTCGACGACGCACGACTCTCATGGCAACCACGCAAGTAGTGGCTGGCAGACAACCAAAAAGAAGCAGAAGAAGAATGCCAGGTCGAATGCAGAAAACCGCCACGGGTTCCATGGCGGTGCCGAGCCCCTCCCTGCGGATGAATCTCTGAGAAAAGGCGGATGAAGGCCCTGAGGAGATCGGCTACACTCTTCATTGGATTTGCGCCGAGCAGCATGAATTACGAATGTTTAGAATGTGTCACATGCCATTGCAATGAGCGAACCCAAGATTACTTGTTGGAGTTCACAGCATCTCGACCTGCTGGATCAATCTTTCACGAGGCGATTATATCAGCAGTTCGTGCTATTGCATAGCACTTGTACAGTTTGTCGCAGCAAACTATCGAGACGTTCGGCTTCCCGTCGAACGTTACCCCAAAATTATCGTCAAAAGGAGTTCAAGTCACTTGAACTAGATCCTATGACGCTGTATAAAATGAGGCAATACCTCTTTGAAAATGACATAATTTCGGTTGAACTGTTTCTTTTTTGCTTTTGAATGGCAGGTATATGACTTTTTCTTATTCTTGTGTCTATGTCTATGTTTTGCCCCTTTTCTTTTCATGTTCAACATTGGCGTTTCGCAAGGTCAAATAATGGAACTTGGCAGTCGAAGGGTCTGGCTGGGTTACAATTGGTTCGCGGGTTATTTGCGTGAGTTGCATAATTGCATATGATATCTGTTCGCTGATTTTATATCCTTGTTCGATACATGGCTCTTGACCTTGGCTGTGCCCTTTGGAGCTTGACTCGTCCGTCTCCTCGGGGAGCCATCGAGCTTCGAGTTGATTCTGGGTTATGTCTGGCCGCGCTTCACTCAGGTTATTTTCTTTTCAGACCTTTGTTGGCACACACTTATGCTGCGACGAACTCCCTGATAGGGAACAGGTCGCCACCGAGGCGTTTACCACCAGCAGGATATACGCGGATTGTTCAACTCGAACTCAGGAATGCGGTAGACAAAAAGGGGAGAACAGCAAGAGCGAGCAAAAACTAAACGAGTTTACTATACATACAAACATCCACCTTTTATTTCGATGCTACGGATTGATTGATTGATTGACCGGTTTCGTTCCTACCCATTGCCGGCTGTGTTTATTTTCTTTTGCTTGTTTCATTTGTTTGTTCCAGATTATATCCAAACGGCATGATCATCATCATTATCATTGTCAATATACCATCATAGCAGGGAGCCAGGCGAGTGGGTCATTGTTTCTGTGTTATATTTTGCGTTTTCTCCTTTTATGAGAGATAATTTGTCCCTGTTTTTGTTACATATCATGTCGATCGAGTCCAGTCTGGATTGGGCGCCGGTTCAAAGTAGAGGTTGGAATTTACATAAAGAGAAAAATGATAAAAATGAGAAAATGTCCGTGAGCTAAGGTACACAATTATCAAGGAAAAAAAAAGTCTAGACTTGATGTGATTAACTAGATTCATCCACCGCGCAAACTATTAATGCCAGATCAGATTAATAGTGATATTGCTTTTGCTTCTACTATTGAGACTTTTATAGGCGACTATTCCAATAACCCTCTCGAACCAAAAGTTTGATGCTTGTTGAATATGTCCCAAAGGGGATAGATAGATAACAAACCTGTGACAAGTCATAAGAATATAAACATGGAGAACACTTGATACCTGCATTTTAGGCATGCAAGGTCTGCAAACTTTACTATTTTCTCTCTCTGGAATGTTTCTGACTCGTTCATAGCTATATTCGGTGTATATTTTATTATTCCTTGTTTGAGCATAAGAGCACAAGTAGCATATACATACATGCATGCTTTATGTATGACTAGAAATCAATTATTTCCAATAGAAGATACTTACCCAGGAAGGCACATAACCAATCCCTGGCAGTAAACAACAATCTTGGCCCCAAAGTCCAACCAACCACCGAATCCATACTTGACCTACAACACACGGACACAGATGTACATACCCCGCAATACGAATGAATATGCGACATTCCAGAACATCGATCGGAGGTCCAGACCTATTATGTCAGCTTCGTACATAGTTAATGATGTAGATCTTGAAAATGTCTTTCATCAACATCGAAGAAATAGCGGAATCCGTCTATGAGTGAGCGAAGTTCTACGCTGTAAGAGAAGTCAGATGGGTATTCCTGTTCCTGTCCTTGGAGGTGGGTTCGAGGGGATCGAGACTCTTCTGTGAGTTTGTTTCCTGGACTTTTGGTTGAGACGATCACATGCGTGCCGCTGGAAGGAGGATCCTGGTAAGTATCTAGGGGTAGAGTTCATGTTGCTAGGTTTAGACCCTGATGTAACCGTTGATATTGTCCGCTTTGTGATTATCGTTGTCATGTGTTAGGCTTACTTGTTGGGGTTCTATTTATAGTGACTGGTTGGTCGGATTTCATGTGATTCAGTATATATTAATTGCGTATTCGGTTTATATATGTACATGCTCTTGTATATCTCCGATCTATCATCGCTGGGGGAAGATAACGAACTCAATAAAAGCAGATAAATCATAAGCGGCCTGGTCAAGAAGGGAAGTGGAAGTATTATTACAGCATCAAAAAGCAAGCGTAGTAAAACTCGTATCATACACCAAGCCGTGATAATTTGGACGAGAAGAGATCGTTTCGCTCCGAAAACAAAAGAGAAGGGGGGAAAAAGCATACAAAGGTCTAATTATACTAACAGAATGCTTCAATGAGCATGTAGGGGAATATAACAACACAGGCCGTCCAGAATACCATCACGCATCTGATTAGTGACCAGGGAAGTTGGTACAGAGGAGCCTCACGAAGAAGCACCCAGAGGGAGAGGAATGCGACAGTGAAGAAATGGTAGAATAGTACAAAGGGCTTTTTGATAAGGCCGCCCAAGAGACCCATTGGCTCGGAGTACATGCCCATATCGAAGTAGTGGAAACAACCTCGCTGGAGGACGCGAAGGTTTTCATCTAAGCAGGATGTTAGTAGCTGACTGGGTAAAGGTGCGGTATACGAGTAAGGCAACAAACCATTGGCAGAGAACAGGGCGTACAACGCCATGGCCAGGATGTTAATGACCGAGGATCCGTTCTTCCGCTTCCAGTGGAAGGACTTTAGCTGCTTCAACACCCTGTCGGTGTCTGCAAAATCGGGAACCTTTTCGGGACTCAGCAGATCCCGGAACACAAGGACATCGTTGAAAGCCACAGTCATGCCGCCACCAGTCAACGGATGCCGCATGTTCAGCGCATCGCCCAGTATCACCAGCCCGGGGTCTTATTCTGTGCGGCAGGAAGGAATGAGTTCGGCATAGACCTCAACGGGCCCTTCTCTAGTGCGGCGCGGAAGGCTGGTTGGACAGACTCGGGAAGAGATGGTAGGGTCACGTTCCACAGGTGATTCTTGACACCACCATTCTTGACCGACGCGGATGGAAGGTTCTCTGGGATGTCGACCAAGATACGGGTCTCGTGGGTGCCAATCTGGTATAGGAGGATGGGGGGATTTGCACTCAAGAGGACGTGTCCGTGGTTAGGTGCAGGGAGTTTCGTGTCAATTAGTTCGAGAGCCCAGAATCGGGACTTGACCGTCGGAGTATTAGAGTGGTATTGTTTCCGGAACTTGGAAGCGTAGCCGTCCGCGACGACGGTGAGGTGTCCAAAATAACAATCCTTTTTCTCCTTGGTTTTGCACTCCACACCAAGGACCTGCTTGGTATGCGAGCAAGTGATCAGGTCCGTCGCCTTGGTCTCCACGACGGTAACATTGGGGCAGGCCAGAGCTGCTTCCCGTAGCTTCATGATAAACCTTCCGTGGTGAAAGGAGCGGCCGCGCGGAGGCGGCGACGACGGGGTCTCCTTAGGATAAGGCATAGTCACGGCTCGGTCAAAGTAAGACACATAGAAACCGTAAGAGGGGATTGAATCGATCCCCTCCAGACACTCTGCCAGGCCTAACCGCTCCAGGGCCTGGACACCACCGGGCTGCAAGAGCTCGCCGACGATGCGATCTGGCTCCTTCATAGAGGCTTCCAACAGTAGGACGCTCCGGCCCTGTTTTCCCAGTGTAACTGCAAGCGCACATCCTAGCACTCCTGCGCCCACGATCACAACATCGGCGTCGTGGTGGACTCGTCTGCGTTCTTCGGCCGCATCGGCGGGCTGGGTCGCATTAACATGGCCGTTAGGGACGGCGGTGGCCATTGTGCGGGGGAGAGGTCGAGGGAGGTCAGCGAATTGGGCAGAATCGACGGGGACCGCAGAGCATATTCCTTCCCCGGAGTTGGAAAGAAGGTTTGAGGGACAATTGGCCGGGAGAGACAGAGAGGGAATGCGAGTGGAGGAAGTGTAAATAAGTAAGGGGGGGGGAAGGAAAAGACGTTGAAAAGGTTAAGGCAACGAAGGGCCCGTGATATCGGCGCAGTGGCGTGACATGTGAAAGATTTTCCGCCCTTCAATTCCGCTGCCCCTAAAGTACGAGGCACCGTACGATCTTCGTGAAGATAGCGCTCATCCTGGTTCTTATTACTACATGATAATATTCATTTCACCCTCCTTGATTGGCTCCTGACATGTGATACGCAGGGCTAGAAGTCGGCCTGGGAAATAGTTCCATATCGCTAGTGTACATCTCGGTGAAGCATCTCTATATATACAATTCTACTATACAAAATAGAAGAAGATAGAAGGAAAAACACCAACGAAAGAAAATCAGGAATAGATCCAAAATCAAAAGGGGAATATATGCTACATCACAACAAATCCTCGACTCATATTTGCCCTAAGGCCACTCGCTCATTCCATTGAACCGCAATGGACTTCGGGTTGATCTCAATTCGACCCAGAAGTATCTCCAATTCGTATTCTTCGTCCCACCTCTCGATCGTCTCCGGGATGTCAGATACCTTATACATCCGCCTCTCGTCAAGAGGCCGTTTCAGCATCCGCCGGAAAGACCGCTTCGCGTTAGGGTTGCCTTTGAGCTCCCATAATGCAGGATCACCGCCACTCTTCTTCTCGAGCATGTCGGCAATGTGTCCGAGATACTCCAGTTGCTCGGCCCGTTTGGACGCTTCCCTCGTGGAGAGGCCGTCAGACTTGAACTTGCGATTTAATACTCCCATGACGCGACTGACTTCAACAACAAGATCATGATTCAGTGCACTGCCCCGAGCAAGGCCAGTAAGGATGCACCACCGAATTCCGGGAATGTTATCCATAGCTGCGAACGCGCGCAAAAACATCTTCATGCAGACCCCATCGAAGGGTAACGTGCGGGTATAGCGGGACATGTAAATGGCCGCTAAGAGATCTATGGCTATCTCCGGCTTGTTATGCACAATTAACCGTCTACTGGTGGCCACCGTGATATGGTGCTTGACATTCATTCGCTTGTTCGACCAGCAGAGCTGGTAAAATCGAAGGACCGCCATTTTGATCAGGTCCCCTTCCGACGCAGAGTCCACTACCATGATCTGGCGGAAGAACTGAGGGAAGAATCGAATGAGATGTCGGATGCCCCGCCACTCAGTTTCGACAAGCACACGAGCTTCGCCAAGACCATGCTCAAGGAGAGTCGCAATGGCAGCCAACTCGACGTGAAGCTGTTTGAACTGGAATCGTGCATTCTTTGCATTTTGGAAGCACTTTAGAGCTTCTGTCATCTTCCCAACGTGCATGTAATGCGTCATCTGTTTATGAAGCTTCTGGTACTGATCGACGGGCTTTGACGGTGTCACATCCTGCAGTGCTCTTTGATACCACGGCAGCGAACTCTGGGTGAAAGGCATCGTATTGACCTCAGGAATAGGGAATGAGCGCTGATCGTAACCGAGAATCTGCTGCGAGGTAGCAGCTTGTCCATATTTTACCCGAGCAGCCTGCAGCATTTGCCAGAAGCCCACGGGCGCTCCCTCAAGTGCTAAACGACGAAAGCGTAACATCTCTAGGAACTCTTGCTCATTGATGTGGACTTTCCAACCACGTTCGCGTGCCATTCTTGTGAACTCAGTTATCATGTGCTTGTCACCCTTTTCCACAAATGCTTCCAGAATATGCTTGTACAGTATCCGATCGGGGACGATATTGAGCTTATCAATGTAGCGGTGGATGAAGTCTTGGATTTCGCGCCCTGAATGAGACACCCAGTATTCAAGGAATATGCGATCAAAGATAGGGGTAAAATCACGTCTTCGAGACGTCAAATTAAGCTCGTGCATCTCCTGAAGGTCTGCTTCCACACCCTCCCAGTCACACGCAAGAGCCTTGCCATATACGAGAAGGCCTTTTGTGCGGCAGCGAAGGGGAAGTTCGTATGTAGCTGTCATGTCTTCCACCAAAGCTTCAGCGTCTGCTAACCGGCCAAATTCAACGTATGCCTTAACCACTGGGTTGAAAAGTTTGTCGCTGGGATCCTTTCCCAAACGGGGAAGCGTCGTTAAGATCTTCTTCAATTGTCCGTTCAAAAGCTCAATGCTCCTTGTCTTTTTCCACAGGCCTGACAGATATGCACCACATAAGCCGCAATCCCGGTCAAATTGCAGATGTCTGAAAAGGAACCACTTCGCTGTTGTGAGCCTATGTGATTCAAGCAAGCATCGTAGCACCACATCTACCATATCCGGCGAGAGCTGAAATTTGTGCATGTACCGAGTATAGATAGTTGCGACTGATTCTATACATCCCTTCCGTGCTAATGCAAACATGAGAACCTTCCAAAGCCTGGGTGAGACCTTGTCCACCTCTTCCAAGCGCTCGAAGATGTTTCTTGCGATGAATACATTTTCCTGTTTACAGTTGACAAAAAATGCCTGAACCGCGAGCTCTCTCCTATCGGATGATAAACCATTCAGTGAAGCAGGGTGTGCGTCCAAGAATAATTGTGCCGCATCAATAGGCCGCCCTCGATCGAGAAGATCTTGCATTTGCTTCGGGATAGAGTTTTGTCCTTCTTGGATTGTAGCCGTGCCATCCATCGACTCAGATGCATTTGCAATGGTGTCGATCTTGCCAATGACAGAGCTGGACCTATTGAGGTTCTCCGTAGGTCGCGTGTATTCAGGTGGAAGAAAGTCGCAACTCCCGGGTTTCACTGTATCCTGTTTTGTGTTCATTAACCCAGCGAAATTTAATTGAGCAGCATCCAAAAAAGCGTCGACCTGGGCTGGGTTCTCGAAGGATCCAACTCCAGTGTTCGAGCCGAGCTCATCATGTTGACTCCCTTCATTGCCCTCCACATGCAAGTTCTGTGCTTGTCGTGACTTCCGATCTTCCTCCTTGAATGCATGCATACTGGTGAATTCACCAGCCTCTGCGACTTCCATCATACGAGCAAGTCGTCTCGCCGCGGAAGTTGCATCGTAATTGGGTGCGGAGGTTTGAAGGGCGCGTTTGTTCTCAACGATACGTTCTGCGACGCGGACTCGGCGATGGACATCGTACGTGATAGCCGCAACGGTACAGAAACTGCCCACAGTTGAGCCGGCAAGGGCCAGCCTGCGAAGGACACGCAGGGCATTGCGAGAAGGTACGGCGGAAGTGCCGTGGGTAGGTTTGGTGATCATGGCAATAGGACCTGTGCACCGCCGGCAGCAGGCAAATTGGGATATCACTGATAGAGCATCAGGGGAATTGAGAGATTGATGCTCAATTCTCAGTAGTGTAAGCCAAGACACCACGCTGGGAAACTATCGCAATTGACGGCCGGAGTTTTGAGATAGATGATTTTCGGCGGAAAGTTTGCAAGAAACATTGGTTTCTCCCGGCCGCCGTACTGCTTGTGGTCCCATTCGTTCCTTTCCGGGTGAACCCATTTCCTGTGCACGTGACCATACATTGTTCCTGCTTAGTCATTGGAATGTGGATGGGTTCGAGAACCTAACAAAGGCAATTTCATGCCACTGAGAGACTTCACCGCCAGGCATGGATCCATTGCTGGTACGTAGTAAACTACACTCTCTCTACCTCGACCAGATGTGGCTATTTTAGCTACGTTCTGTTCCCGTAACAAGATTCGCTGATATGGCCTGCATCCGCGTTGCAACCCTGGACTACCAGGGCTGGGGATGCAAATTCCGAGTTGAACTATATCCCAAATTATATGTTATAGATCTAACAGGAGTTTCGCGTAAATAGGAGTACCTAATCCTTAGGATACATCACAAGTAGGTACCAGGGTATTAAGAATCTTCTATATATTAAGGTAAGAGTTCATCCTCAACCGCTTCTCTGTAGTCATTGGGATCGATGTTATGATTTCTTGGATCGTCGAAATCAAGTCGGACTGCTGTACGTTAGCATGAGATCACAAAAAAATTCCTCAAGACGTTACTAACCATGCGCTTTGATATACAAGGTGCAACAAAATGCAATCCCAAAGACAAGTGACAGGCATACAAATACTGCCTGTGAGAATTTACCCACCGTCACACTGTATATGAAACTGCAGATGGAAGGCGCTATTACTCGAGCAATAGCATGTAGAAGGCCTTTAGCACCGAGTATCTGTCCTATGCGATCGCGGGGCACGTGTTTAGTAAGAGACGACTGCAACACCGGCGCGGCCATGCCCCCTAATGATGTGACGACTCCCGACAAGAGCAAAAGCGAGCCGTGATTTGCCAGTGCATATCCTACGAACCCAATCGTATCCAGCAGAATCGAGACGCGAATAAGGACGACATCAACCACACCGGAACCAGAAATAACCAGGTCCTCCCTTGGTTCCTCACGGAAGATCCGCGTAATCATGGGGAGCACAATGAAGAAGTTGAGGACGCGAACGGAACTGATGATGGACACGAATAAGCTTGATTCAACATTTCCCCAGCCGAACATATATCCCGCATAGATAATGATAATCTGTGACGTGCCTAGGGCCATGCCGAGGTGAAGCGTATCGATCACAGAGAGCAGGATGATGTTTCTTCGCAATGCTGGACTGGCGCCCCCGCGATTAGGGAATAGAGTGCTAGGTCGCCCAGCTGGTGGAAATAAGACGGCTAGAGGCGCGATGATTTTCTTCGGGTTCCAAAATCTCATTGACAACCAGCGTATATCTTCTTGATTGGCGAGCTTCACCTGATGTTTTTCTTGAGCACTCTGTTTTTGCTCCTTAGACAGCGACTCCGGGATGACGAGCAAGACCACAAAGAAGAAAAGCACATGAAGAGCCAGCGCGGAACAGAACACACTCATTATATCGTGTGTCTTCTTCATGAGTATGGCCACAAGGAACGGCCCAGCTGCAACTCCAGTGAAGATGGCGCCATGCAAGTACCCAAAAGCTACACTGCGTTTCCCCGAAATGGTACAATCAGAGGCGTACGAAGTGCTCAGAGCTAGCATAGCAGTGAATGAGCCTCCTAAGCCGTCAAATGTAGCGCCCAGAAGCAGTAGATATATCGATACTCGCTCTGCATTTGCTGCCACAATGACGGTAATTATCTCTGCTAGTACCGTTCCCATTGCACTCACAGCAATCATAGACGTTCTTCCATAGCGGTCCGATAAATGGCCCAATTGAGGGCTGATCAGTGCCGACAGCAGACCTACTACCAGATTGTAATACAATTGAAAGCGGGCAACGAGGGACTGAACTTCCGGTATTTGGCACTGGGAGTTGTCCTGTCCAAGAAGGACAGGCAAGTACGTGAATCCAGGATCGCTAGAGGCTCTTTTGGCCAGATAGTCTCTACAGGTGAGAGAGACCATCAGGTTAATCTTGGGAACCGCAGCACCGCCAAAGCCTAGCATATACAAGAGAAGGAATGGGAATAACCAAAAGACCTGGTCGGATCAGAACGCAACACTTTCTGCTGAACTGCACTGGAAAAAATACGCACACTTGCTTTTGTGCGAGACCGCCAGAGGCCAGCGTTCAACGCCGTCGAATTCTGGTAGATGAGTCTAAGCCTTCATCCTCACTTTCTTCGCTCGTCCGTTGAAGGAGGGGCGTCTGCTCATGGACGTGCAATTGCGCCGAGTCTTTTGGGCCATCTTCACCAGTGTTTCGCGGGTTATTCTGCCCAGGTACGACTGGCCTGCTTCGCAATTGCCCGCCAACATCCGTATGGACGGAAGAGTTTGTTTGACTGGCCATTTCCGGCAAAAGGATATCGACACCTATAGACGTCGATGGCTAAGTAGGTGCGGCCCGCGTTCTGAGGTGTAGTTTTCAAAGATGTGGTATGTGATAAAGAAGCAAGGGGGGAAATAAATTGCTCTGACACGATTTATCGTGACGGGACTTTACTTTTAAAACACCTTGACAGAAGCAACGTCTCACTCATGATTCCGATATGCCAATGGTATTGTTCCTTGGTCTCGGGATTCCCTGGATTGAAGAGTCAATGAGGGGAGCGTTTGTCAGCTTAGCTTAGCAGAACAAGTGGAGAGAGCAAAGGCAACAGATAAGCCAGCCATGACGTTTGACCAGGCTAACGGGTGCCGAGGTGTTCAAGCGTCCGGCATTTTGTTCCTGGGGCCAATCGAAGCAGCAGCGTCAAAGCCATTGACCCCTTTATAATCATTGATCCAAGATTTCGGTGCCCCCATTTATAGTCATGTCTCAAAATCAAGAAATACCGACTAGTTACACTATCGCTGATTATTTATCGGCCATGTGCTTGAGAATTGCAAATTATCCTTTTCCAAAAAATCTTAAAGTACATAATATAAACAAAATTATGTGGCTTTATAAAAAATAATGAAAAAAGAAAAAGAAAAAGAAAAAGCAAAGGGTTTACACTACAAGAGACGCGGCTTCCTCGCCGGCGAAGAACTTCTTCTGCTCCAGGCATCTGTCACTTTTACATCCCTGACAGCGCAGGGTCATCTGACGAGAACACTTTTCTCCCTTTCTCAAGTGCTCCTGCGCGATATTCGCAAGGGCTTCGATGAAGATGGGGCTTCCGTTTAAGCTTTCCGCTCGCTTCACTCCAGGGGAGTTGGCTTCTTCCATCACTTCAAGGTCCAACTCATACAAAGTTTCAATGTGGTCGCTGGTGAAGGCGATCGGTACGAGGACTATATCAGTCTGCCCGCGCTTTACATACTCCATGACAGTGTCGCTGGTCTGAGCTCCAAGCCAAGCCGATGGGCCCACTTGGGATTGCCAGCACAGCCGGTAAGGGTTGCTAAAACCAAGTCTTTGCATTACCGCATGGACAGTTGCTGCAACTTCGGCTGGGTACGGGTCACCTAATCTGGAGTTAGATTTCACGTCTAGCAATTGGCGCGATGGCTCGAATCTCACCTCTGTTCACCACGCTCATCGGCAAACTGTGGGCGGAGAACAACAGGACCACACTGTCCCTCTTGTCCTCCGGATATGTCTTGAGCTGATCCTCGATATTCTTTGCGAAAGCTTCTACTAACCCGGGATGGGTCGGCCACCGATCAATGACACTCCACTGGATGGAGCCGGAGGAGTCCACGCTCCCATTGGCGCGCGGACCCTCCAGACGATTTCTCCATTTCCATAGTTCGTTCAGAGAACTGCCTGTGGTCGAACAGGAATATTGTGGGTACTGTGTAAATGCGACAGCACGGCCTCCTTTTCCTCTTCCGAATCCATCATCGAGTAACTGTGTATACATCTCTTCCGTCAAAGGCGCAGCATATCGAAATGCAACGTAGGGTTTATGAGGCGCACTTTCAGGGTTGAGTTTGTCGAGTAATTTACACATTTCCTGGCATTGGTATTCGGACCATTTTCGAATAGGTGAGCCGCCTCCAATGTCCGCGTATTGCTTTTGGATCTTTGGCGTCCTCCTCTTTGCAATAAGTGGTCCAAGATATGTTTGAAGTCGTCCCAAGGGAATCAGATCACCGTCGGCCTTTACCAGAGAGAGAGCGAAGAGTTAAAAGGAGCCCATGAGAATGTCTATCAGTCTGAAAACGTACAAATAATCTGCTCAAAAAGTCTTCCACCTCATTCGTCGTGGAGGGGCCACCCATGTTCAAGAACACCATTGCGGTAGGACCCTTGGAACCAGCTGCATCTTGGGTGACCGGAGGTACTGCTGTTGCGAAGCCATTTCGCTGTTCTGTGTTGTATCCAAGCGAGCTGCGAGCTACCGGTCGCAGTAGTTGCCGAGGAAGCGTGAAGGTCCGACGGAGGGCCATTGCAATTGATAGGTGGCAAGACGACCTTTTTTTTCAAGGAGTAATGGCCAAAGCGTGCGAGTGAAGGCGATAAAAAGGTAATGAGCTTGGAGCAAAAAGGATATTAATGGGCCATGTGGCAAGGGTCAATAGTAATCAGAAAAGATGCTGACTTGAAGCAGAGAGTCCAGAACCGGTAAAATGACGGAGCCGGAGCATCCATGATGGGTTGGAGCTGAAGCCCATACCCAATCAGAATTGACTTGGGGTAATCATGTCTTGGCATATGTCACCTGATGTTCGTGTCTTCCCCGCGTCGTCTGGTTGAAGTGTCGCGTCACGGGTGACGAAAGAGCGGGAGCGCAGGCAGCAGACTGACAGGCAGACATCCAAGGAAGTCCCAATGTTGCTGTTTAAGCGTGCTTTCGCGTCGATTACTTAACGATCGTCCTTGACTGCTTTGTCTTTGACGCATTTCATGACTTACGACTCAACGTATTCACAATGGCTGACGAGGACCAATATCGCGGAGACGACCAGATCGACGAGGAAGAGGAGGAGATTGACGAGAGTGTATGTACTTCCAAACACGCCTGGAGGCTTCGAAGACTAACAAATCATGAATTAAAACAGGGATATAAAACAGTGAAAGATGCCGTTCTCTTTGCTATCGAAGTCAGCGATTCTATGCTCACGCCTCGTCCATCTTCCGATCCAAAGAAATCCGCGGAAGAGTCGCCCACAACGGCCGCACTAAAATGTGCATACCATCTCATGCAACAGCGCATTATCTCTAATCCACATGACATGATCGGTGTGCTACTATATGGGACGCAGGCGTCCAAATTCTACGACGAGGATGAGAATAGTCGAGGAGACCTTTCATACCCACACTGTTACCTTTTCACAGACCTGGATATCCCCTCTGCGCAAGAAGTCAAGGATCTTCGAGCACTGGCACAGAATGACGACGAAGCAGAGGATGTACTCAAAGCGTCAGATGAGCGGGTCTCAATGGCAAATGTGCTCTTTTGCGCTAACCAAATATTTACGTCGAAAGCACCCAACTTCTTATCTCGGCGACTGTTCATAGTCACTGATAATGATGACCCTCATGGCGATAACAAAAGCTTGCGATCTGCTGCAACTGTTCGCGCAAAGGATTTATACGACCTGGGTGTGACTATTGAGCTATTTCCCATTTCTCGGCCAGATCATGAGTTCGATACCGCCAGATTCTATGACGTAAGATTCTCTTCACTCAAAACGAAGTATCTCTGCTTACACCGCTTAGGACATCATCTACAAGGCCTCTCCTTCGGATCCAGATGCCCCAGCGTACTTGCAAACCGATGCCAAGGCTTCTCCAGCTGCCGGAGATGGGATATCACTCCTTAACACCCTCCTATCCAGTATCAATTCAAGATCTGTCCCCCGACGTGCGCAGTTCTCCAACATACCATTGGAGCTGGGGCCAAACTTCAAAATATCTGTTTCGGGATATCTTCTGTTTAAGCGTCAAGCCCCCGCCAGAAACTCCTTCATCTGGCTCGGCGGTGAACAACCCCAAATCGTGAAAGGAGTGACCACTCAAATCGCTGACGACACGGCTCGCACGATTGAGAAGTGGGAAATCAAGAAAGCTTACAAGTTCGGCGGTGATCAGGTTACTTTCACGCCTGAAGAGATGAAGTCACTGCGCAACTTCGGTGATCCTGTCATCCGTATAATTGGGTTCAAGCCCCTTTCTGCACTTCCATTCTGGGCCAATATCAAACACCCCTCCTTCATCTACCCTTCGGAGGATGATTTTGTGGGCTCCACGCGAGTCTTTTCTGCTTTGCACCAGACACTCCTCCGGGATAAAAAGGCCGCACTTGTCTGGTTCATTGCGCGTAAAAACGCAAGCCCAGTTCTAGGGGCTATGATCGCTGGAGAAGAAAAAGTAGACGAGAGTGGCGTCCAGAAGTTCCCCCCGGGAATGTGGATAATACCTCTACCGTTCGCCGATGATGTCCGTCAGAATCCCGAAACCGCACTTCATGTTGCACCTGAGCCACTGATCGACCAAATGCGGTATATTGTTCAGCAACTGCAGCTTCCAAAGGCGTCTTACGACCCCTTCAAGTATCCCAATCCATGTAAGCTTTTGCCAACTTGCTGTATGAAAAGTCTGGACTAATGCATTGCTCTGTTAGCCCTCCAGTGGCATTATCGCATTCTGCAAGCCCTGGCATTGGATGAAGACCTCCCGGAAAAGCCAGAAGACAAAACAGTGCCCAGATACCGGCAGATCGATAAAGTATATCACACCTTCCTTTTCTCTCCGGGGATCTTGCTGACCTTCTCTTAGCGGACTGGCGACTATGTATTGTCTTGGGCCGACGAATTGGAAAAGCAATATGCGAAAATATCGGCACATGGTCCGAAGAGCGCACTCGTCAAACGAAGCGCTAAAGACCGAACCTCTGAAGTCGAGGATGCAGCCCAAAAGCCATACAAGAAAGTGAAGGTGGAGACAGATGAGCAAGGCGTTCAAGATGTAGTGCGAGCCCATTACCAAAAGGGATCTCTATCGAAGGTGACTATTACCTACTCCTTAGGCTTGTAATTAGGACGAGTAACTAACGCAAGGGGTTTTTGTGCAGCTTACAGTACCTGTTCTCAAAGACTTCCTCAATGCCCATGGACGCTCCGCTGCTGGGAAGAAAGCTGATCTCGTTGAACGTGTGGAGGAATACCTGGAGCAGAAGTGAGGCAACGCTAGGCATTGGTTAATCGAGACACTTTAGTCGATAGGGTCTCTCTATACTTCTAATATGAAATACATAATACTAGAACACTGTCAAGAATGTCTACTACCTACGTATTCATACTTGAAAATGTCACCTCAGGGGAGAGCGCCTGTGTACATGTTGGAAACCTCCAAACACTATCTGGAGGCCAAGGCAGGGCAAAGTATGATAGCCGAGGAAAGACCTGCCATAGTAAAAC